AGATGCATGCGGTGTCTGATCTACACCATCGATCATTACAAAGATGTATTTCAGTGGACCTCGTTTTTAACCTTTTTTTAAAAAAAAATTTGATCGACGGTGTAGATCAGACACCGCATGCATCTCTGCATGTGGTGTCTGTATGGAATAATTTTTCCTTCTTTTGATGAACATTTTTTATGAGCACGAGATTCACTTTGTAAAAAAAAGTTAGGCGAGGGACAATATGGGTTGACAAAAATACATTTATACCAAATTGATTTGAGGATTATTTTTGTGGCTCTTTATATAAAATAAAATCATTACATTTTTAACCAATGATTCTTTTCGAAACAATTTTTTTTTATTGTTTTGTGTTTAAAATCGTCACCACAGTTCTATTTGGGGAATTATTTTTGTATTATTTTTTAGAAATTATTCTAATGAAAAGTCATTTTTTTCAACCCAATCTGTTAAATTGCACTGCCTGCAAGAAAATTGTTGTCTGAAATTTCTGAAAAAAATAAGTTTTTTATAATTTCAACTACAATTTTATAAAAAATTGATTTTTCCATCACAATTTTATAACTACATTTTTAAAAAAAGTCAGAGTGACCCCAAAATAGACCCAAAACCTTTCAAATAATCATTCCGGGCATTTACATACAAGCCTCACAATTGTTAGGATTTTGCATATCTAAACCTAGCTACAATATTTATTTGCATAAGACTCAAATCTTTAATATTACATCAAAAATATCATTTTTATTTACTTTTAAAAAGTAGAACACACCTTTTATGCATTAATTTTTGACACATAACATTAGAAATTTCCAAGTTAACAAGTAACAACTTTAGTAGTATATAGATGTGATGGCATGATTATACGCTCCAATATTCATGGAAAAGGAATTTTAAAGTGACATTTTGACTTTCTAATTGATTGGATAATTTTAATTAGTTATGTATGTCAAATAAAATTTTGGAATCCTATATTCAAATATAAAATGTTAGGACTACTTAAAATGTCGTTGGGAAAAGCAAGGTAGATTCAGCGTCAGTCATGCCCCCAAATAGAAAAAAAAATATATGTTGTTTTTCATATTGTACCTTCTTGTTTAATCTTTATCAAATGAGGAAAAATATTAAGTCTAGATGATCGGACATGCGAATGACAAGCCTAACACGTTACAATCGTCTTTTCAGCTCACCTTTCCGGGAAAAGAAAACAAAATTTCATACCTCAACAACATTTGTGAAAATAGATCACTTATTCAAGCCTCTTCAACAGCTGAAACTCTTACATACGATAAGAATAACATTAGTAACAGTAGTAGGTGAGCTCATCACCATCCTTATTTGTTCACGAACACATAGAAGACATACAACACAACATATGAAATATAACATTAGCATAATCAAACATAGTCTGCAAATGCATATTTATATTTTAGTAGCAACGACAGGTTGGACGAGCTCCGATATGATGGGAGCGGGGAGTACTGTGGGCTTAGTATTATTTATGTTACGCAGATAACGTTTGAGCCAACGAGAAGATTGCTTGGGAGTCCTCCTTAGATCCGGTTCATGCAAGTTGTCGTAGTTGACGTGGTTCAGACCGAACCTGCATGTATAGCCATCCCTCCATTCAAAGCTGTCTAACAGAGACCACACGAAGTATCCCTTCACATTGGCTCTACTACTGTAAATTTTCAATTCAAAATATATATGTTTAGCTTCATCAATACGAAGATTATGGCATTGACATACATACATACATTGACATTTGTATATACATATATATCGCACTAAATTGACATTTGTATACATTCTAGGGCTAAAATAGCGTATCCCTATAAAGAATCCAGTAATTATTTCGGCACTTTTCTCGTACGTAAATACATAGGAATTTAGGGGTACATATGTAAATCTTATTAATATTATATATATATATATATATATATATGATGGGTAAGACATTGAAGAAGTAAGCTAGCTTTAGCTAACCTTAAGGCATCCTCAAGTTCATGAAGGTGAGAGGTGAGGAACTCTGTCCGGAATATATCTTCAGTAGGTATGTTAACTCCATCATCATTATACGCAAGAACCCCTACATATCAAAACATGTTGTGATAATATCAATATAAATATAAAATAATAATAATAATATGATGTAATAACATAATATCACCATTTTCAGTGATGTAAATCGCAGGATTGTTGTATCTTCGCTTTATGTGCAGCAGAAGCTTTTTTAATCCTTTTGGATACACATTCACCCAACTCTTTGGCTGCATTTCATGTCAAAGAAAAAGAGGTATATTTGCAAAGCTAGTTTTATAATAATTGCCAATATATTATGAATTTATCGTACACATTTAGACAAAATGTATAAATTTGTAAATAAATTATGTTAAAGCTGTAAAAAAATGCTCTTTTTGAATTTTTGTCCTACATAAAAAAATATTACCTCAGAAGTACTGATGCATCAGTGCTCCAATAGGGAGGTGCCTCGTGGTATTATGGTGAGACCATTGCATATGTGACACCTCCTCATTGGAGCATCAGTACTCCTGAGGTAATATTTTTTCGTTCTACATGTTAAAAGATAAATTGTAAGGAATTACCTCTGCGGGTCCGATGGGCACCCCAGCTCTCTCAGCTGCATTCCAGGAAGAGTATTATAATTAATTTACATTTATACAATCAAACAAATGACACACGGGTCAAGGTTAAAACTGCAAATTTTTTGCTTGATTGTGTGTGTTTTTCTCATTATTTATATTTTTTTATAGATTTTTTTTATCTAGATTATTATGTATATGTCTATTCAAATCAATTTCTAATATTTTTTTATCAATACTATATATATATATGTATATATATTTCCCCATAAGGGTTGGAAACTAGGTGTGCTTGATTCAGGTTCGAAGAGCCCGTGCCACGGGATTCGAACCCCAGACCCGATGGACTTATAGTTGTCCCGACTATGAGTCACTATCTTTGCGCATATATATATATATATATATATATATATATGTCTCTTATTCTAATTGGTGGTTTATAAAACTGTAAATTTGAAATCAAATTATATAATTATTTATGTGCTAAATAAATGTTGACACATAACATCATTATTAGTAAGAGAAAAAACAAGTAAAAAAGTATATTTTTTGGCAAAATATAATGGTTGAAAATCCTTTAATTTACCTTGAGATAAATATAAGAGATAGGAAGATTTACATACATACCAATAAATTTTTATGTATTTACAAATCTAACAACTAAACTTTAAATTTTACATATATGTCATGCATCTTGCCTTTGCATGAACAGTTGTATTTTGTTATGCGGTATGAAATTTTATTAAGAAATAGAAACTTTTAAATTTTGTTGTAATTACATAATTAATTAAGTTGTGATTAAAAGAGAAAGTTGACGAAGGCATGAATCACATCATGCCGTGTTGACGTACTTGGCGTGTCGGCCTGTGCGTCGTCAATGCAGGTCTGTGGCTTGATAGTATAATTATACGACTTGTCTTTTACATATCTTGATGTGTAATAGTTGACCCCAATAAAATCATAAGACTCCCTAAGCTTTGCAGACTCTTCGTCCGTGAAGATTGGGAGTCTATCCCCCACCAAAGCTCGCATAGAAAACGGGTAATTACCAAACTTCACCGGATCCAAAAACCTGCTCATTAACCAATAATTAATTAAGCTAAATCCTTGATTAATACATGAAATTAATCCTAAATCATTTCTATATAGAATTCCTCTTAACATTGCACAGCATACAGGTATATATCTGAAGTCATAATCCCCTGTTACTCGACTTAATTGCAAGCTGACCAAATAGTACTAAAAATGTGAGTTTATACTTTATAGTACTTTACTTACCATCCTACATTGAAATCAAGAACTCTTTGTTGCGCCTCTTTATTAAGTGGACTTTCATCATAAGGTTCATACCAATGTGAGTTTACTGTAATTCCCACTTTTCCCCTTTGTTTAGCCTGCAAAAGCAAAAATTAAACTTAAGCATGTCATCTTAATCTCAAAAAGTGCGTGTTAATTAAACTTCTAAAGGGTATATGTGCAAAAACTTTTGGATTTAGCTGCCATGGAAGTATTATAAATTACCTGGTAATGGGTTCTGTAGAGATCTACTGCTTCTGCATGAGCTAAGAGTAAGTTATGAGCAACTTTATAGGGTTCTCTGAGAGAATCTCCAACAGGGCAATTGAGAGGACCAAATCCTGGAATTTCTAAGTCTGGAGTGCAGTGGCCAGGAGCAAACATCCCATAGCCATATCCCATTGAAGCAAACATCCGAGGTTCATTCAATGTGATCCAATGCTTCACTTTATGCCCAAATTCCTCAAAACATAGATTCACATACTGCTTGTAATCATCTCTGTGAAATTTTAGTTAAAATGTTAGATACAATTATTGCATGTTTCTAACCTTTTTATTAGTAAAGTGTCAAAATAGGGTCATTTTAATACTATACTCACACTATCCGTCTGCTTAAAAATCCTCCATATTCATCTTCTAAAGCCTGCGGAACATCCCAATGGAATAGTGTAACATAGGGCTCAATTCCTACAAATATCACCCGCATAAGATTTTGTTAATATTGATTTTATTTTAATTACCATGAATGGTTTTGTTGTAATTACCATGAAGCTTTAGCTCATCAATCAGATTGTGATAGTACTTGAGTCCTTCCTGATTGGGCAGGCCACGGCCCTCTGCAGATTAATTAGTTTGTGTTAATTTAATAAGAAGCTTAATGAATTAATCATGTCAGAGATTGTAATTAAGATCTTAATTAAGATTAGAGAAGAGAATATATTGAGTTATTATAGTACTTGGGAGTACTCTTGGCCAAGAGATGGAGAATCTGTAAGCTTGGAGGCCTATGTCGACTAAGAGCTGCACATCTTCCTGAAGTACAGGTAGTAGAGATTAATCAGTTTAATTAAGATTAATTTAAGTTCTAAGATGGATTTATAAATTCTTTAATATTAAATATACAATATATATATATATATATATATCCAAATGTGTGTTCATACTTTATAGCGGTAGTATGAGCCTGCTCCCGGATCTCCAGTTGACTTATCGACAATTTTTCCTGAAAAAAAGAATCATAAAATAAATGAGTTTTTTCTATATTATTATAGTTAAAAATCACTAATTATTGTAAGAAATGTCTATAATATTGTTCTTTAAAATTCGTGCGGCTGTTCGTATGAATGTGCCTGCTCCATTGCATTAATCCGTCAGCAATTTTATACTTTTTTTCTTAATTAATGTTTGTTTGACTTAAGATTTTAATAACATTATTAATAAAATGATGTAACTTTTATTATCTTAAGTCATAAAAAACTTAATTAGTCACGTAAATTATGATTACTTCTAAAAAAAATCTGATTAATGTAATTTCTTATTTTTAAGTACAACCATTATGTTTAGCATTAAGAAATTCATGTCTTTAATGCAGGTTCAGTTCAGATGTATCTGAAAATTTTTTATATTTCATTTCAAGAAATACTTTACAAATATTACAATTTATACTTATATTTCTTATATGATATTAAAGATAAATATGATTCCATCCGGTAATCAATGTTGTAGACAACAGCGTATATAACATCATGTCGTGTGTTTGATGATATGATGCAATCCAAATCATTATGAACACGTCATCATCCGAACGAATATTTTCTCTAAAAAAGAAAATATTACTTCACCAGATGTTCGAATGACAGCGCAGTATAATCATTGCCATCATCCGCACATCCGTCTCCGTGACATAATAGTGATGCTTTAACTTAGACCTGAAGACTTTTCACAAAACGTATCCCATATGCTTGGTCCTCTCCCTCCTGCCTTTGTTGCTCCTTCCACCTAATGAAAAACCCTCAATGTGAGAGCCAAAAAATTATTATGCACGAAAGGTGCATATTTCGTTGTATTTTTTATTGTATTAGTTGTATTAATACAATCAATACAATCAAAATACAACGAAATTCACAGGTACAAACTCCGCACCTAATAATTGCTTGAGAGAGAGGAAAAGGGAGATTGCATGAAACCTGGAAAGCAGAGCTGGCAGCACCAAAAACGAAGTCAGGGGGGAAGATGTTATGCGGCTTATGATCCAAACTAGAAAATGACTCAATTTCCTCCTCATATAAAGCAACATTATCGTTAATTAACCCCTTAACAACAAGATAATTACGTTTTGAACCAGTTGAAGAAGCTGGAGATACAACCTTCCAAACCCTAGGTTTCCTTAACAGTGAATTACTACTGGCTATGTTCCTCTTAGAAGACAAAGCAGCAGGAAGCTGAGCGTTAACTACAGTTAGAGCCATACTGTTCTCTGGAATGAAGTGCGGTTAAGAGCTGCAGGCTTGACCACTTTGACCGCTTTATATAGGCGCAAGATCCTTTGTATTGAAAGCTCCCCAAGTTCTCCGTCCATAAAACGAGTTTCACATGAAGAGAAAAGCTGACAAAGCTGAATCAGCTCATTTACTTCCCACCAACTCCTTGTTTCACATTTTTCATTATATATTTCATATATTGATACCTACAATTTGATATTTAAACCTATTAAATATGTGCATGAAATGTTGTATTTTACTTTTAAAAAATTAAACATGGCGATATTTTCTTCGTGATGTTATAATTTTTAGTATTATAGATATAAATATGGAAGTTCAAATGTTAGATATATAAATGTGTAAGAATTCTGTGATGTCAGTTAGGGGTGTAAGCGAGCCGAACGCGAGTGAGCCTTGTGTTCGGCTCGATTATATTTCAAGCTAAAAAAGTGTGTTTGTGTTCGACTCGTTTGATTAGCGAGCCGAACACTAACCGTTCATGAACAAAGAGCCGTTTTGACAGTCTTAATCATGTAGTCATAAAATATTAAGAATTGGGACAAGATTTAAAACATCATTTGAATCTAATTTAATAATATTTATTCTATTTTTTTAATTAATACTTTTAATTGATTATAAATCTTGTTGTCTTGTAGCCAATTAATTTTTTTTTAAATATTACTCATCAAATATATATATATTTAAAAAAAATGCTATACGGACATTTAACATTTTTTAAAATATTACTCATCAAATATATATATATTTTAAAAAAGTGCTATACGGACATTTAAGAAGAAAAATTAAGTAATGTCATTAATTAAATTATTGCTCAACTAATTTATAGGTAGCACGGTTTGCCACTATCCATCTTTCACGTGGGCCGGAGCAATTTTAGGGTACGGACCACAGCCTTCCAAAAGTAAATTGACTAGAGGAAATCTTTCTTGCTATTTTAATAAATTGTCTCTAATTATTTATAGGAATTATTTTAATCCCAAAATTACATCACGATTTAGAACAACGTTCAGAATTCACTGATATACAAATATATGAATATTGACAGAAAAATTAAAAAAAAAAAATCCGTTTAGCTAGTAGAATATTCCTCCCGTGTTATTCTGTATTATTCACGTGTTATTGTGGTGGTATTCATGTATTATTGTGTTCTAAGAATATTCCCGGTGTTATAATCACACAATAATACATCAATACTACCACAATAATACTTGAATAACGCGGAATAACACGTGTCAAATATTCTCCTATATTACCGGGCCGCATCTCAGAAAAGCGTGTGTGTTTCCTTGAAGTCACGTGTTCGCATATCAATGGACTCTGAACGTAGCTCTGCGTTAGAAGTCCTGATGTAATATTTACCGAGGAAACCAATCAACAATCTAGAGTACGCAAAAAAAAAAAAAAATAAATAAATATATATATATATATGAAGTAATTTTTTAGGTGTATTGCATAATCATGTACTGCATGTATTTTTGTGGGCATTTACTTACATAGCATCCACTCCTTATGTTTTTACATATCCAAACATCTTAATATTCATTTTTAGATTTACACCCCCCAAATCTTTCACATCACATAATAAATACTACAATTTAATTCTTTTTAAAATGAAATATAATATCCCACATGTGAACCCTCTTGACCTAATCTTCTCCTTGGATTCTTATTATTCCTTTTTATTATCTTAAGTAAATTGTTAATTTGCCATCTGTCATGTACTCATGTGATTATGTAATATGCCCATTTATTGCTATGGACATTTGCATATATACCACCCAATTACTATGAATTTACATATCTAACAGCTAAATTTTGTTTTTTTAGATTTACACCACAAACTTTCATATCAGAAAAAGAATATTACTATTTTAAATTTTAAGAAGTTGGTGTTCTGTTCTGATATATAGTACATTGACTAAAATAAAATAAAAAACTTTTAAAATGTCGTGTTAGAGTTAGCAGTCACGGACAAAAAAGTCTCACATCGGCTAGGTGTAGGGCCGAAAAACATTATATAAATCCAGGGCTGCCCACCACCCCTAAGAGTTCTTTTGGGAGGTGACAAGTGGTATCAAAACAGATTACTGTTTGTTAGGTGTGTGGACTCTTCATGGTCTAGTGGGACCCTCGGTGGAGTCACTCAGTGGAGTCAATCCGTGACGAGGGCATCACGTGATTGAGTGGAGGAGAATGTCACGGACAAAAAGTCCCACATCGGCTAGATGTAAGGCCGAAAAACAGTATTTTAAAATGTCACGGACAAAAAATCTCACATCGGCTAGGTGCAGACGTATTTTAATCCTGAGCTGCCCACCACCCCTAAGAATTCTTTTGGGAGTTGGCGTAGTGCTCTCCCTGCAATTACAAAAATATGCAGCATTTCTTGCATATATATGCATATGATGGCATATATGTAAAATTTAATGTTTAGGTGTTAGATATGTAAATAAACAAACATTGAGCGGCATGTGTGAGAAGTTGACTTTCCAAATAAAGGAAAGTTTGCATTCCAAATTTAAATTCTGAAAACCTATTTATGTTTCACGTATCGTTCACACTTGAACAAAAAAGAATATTCTATTTAAATTTTAATTATGATATTTTTTTTAAACTTTTTTAATAATAATACAATATAAAACTAATTAACTATTAATTGAGTCAGTCATCACACATTCAACTACATAATAGCAACAGATAAAGCTGGAGTCAATATAATAAGTTTAAAAACTAGAGGATACGCACAAATTTTCTTAGTTTTAACATTTTGTTTTATGTCACATCTCAAAAAAGCTCTTAAAGGTGGTGGACAACCCAGGACTTAAATATTATTTTCGGCCCTACACCTAGCCGATGTGAGACTTTTTGTCCGTGACATTCTCCTCCACCCAATCTCGTGACTCCCTCGTCACGAATCGGCTCCACTTAGGGTCTCACTGGACCATGAAGAGTCCACACACTTGGAAGACAGTAATCTGCTCTGATACCACTCATCACCTCCCAAAAGAGCTCTTATGGGTGGGGGTGGGGGGCAGCCAGGAACTTAAATACTGCTTTTCGACCCTACACCTAGCCGATGTGGGACTTTTTGTATGTGACAGCATGCCAAAAATATAAACGAATAACTGATAATCGAGAGCTAAAAGATCAACAATAGAAAAATCATTGGGATATAACTCTGCGAGATGAATTAGCTTTCCCTTATCAAAAGTTGAGAATGAATCACTTCGATTTAAACAAGCAATACAAAGAAGCAATTGGGTACTTGCTTTAGAGAAACAGTAATTCAACTCCTGAAGTTGTATGCCAATCACACTGTAGAACAACTCGGCACGATAATGATTGAAATTTGTAATTTCTTCGCCTCTGCATATTGTTCTCCGTCAAGTCTTAAAAGAGGATTTTATATTTAGAACATCAATTTCAATAACGTTACAAAAGCGGGACACTTCTTGTAATAAGGAATCACATCCATTTTCTTGCATCATTTACAATCGTTGCTTTGATAAATGCACCAATGTCATTGCATTCATAATATCTTGATCTTTTTTTTAAGATTGTGACAATTCATTTATAACTCCTAAAATATCAATTATTAAATGCAACATGAAGACAAAGCCAATACTTTCCATTACATCACTTAAAACACCAACTCAACTAATTGTTGATCATGCAATCTATCCTCTTTTATAATCTCAAGAAGTCAAAGTATAGATGCATACATTTTCATGAGACTAATTAAAGTATAATAATGTGAACTCCAATGGGTGTCTCTAGCTTTGCAAAGTAATTTATTGATTCAAACAATGACTGTTAATTAAATTCTCATTTCTAAGATGTAAGAGAATTTTCTTATGTTGAATGGTTTTAAGAGCATCATTTCTCCTACAAGAAGCTCCAACAGTATTTAAGATTTTTGAAGTGAACTCAAAAAGATATTTAACTTGTCAATGATTTTTTACTACAGCTGCCAAAATTAACTAAAGCTGATGAGCACATAGAATGCTTAAGGATTATCATTAAGAATGAGTGTTTTCAAACTATTGAACTTGCCTCACATCTTAGATGCACCGTCATAGCATAGGCCACGTATCCTATGTAGGCTTGATGAATGTTTATCAAGTATGGATTCAAGAGTTTTTTAAGTGCAACTAAAGTTATTGAGGAAATATGTTCAACTCCAATAAATCTTTCAATTGCTTGCCCCATTTTATCAACATATCTCACAATGACAGCTAAATGTTCCTTCGCTGACCAACACGAGACTCATCAATTGTAATGTAGAAGTAAAAACAATCTATATCTTTCATGATATAAGCTAAAATCTTAATTACTGCAGCTTGTTGAAGTTCTTTTTGACTCTTTGATGAAATTAATTGTAATTATGTGCACGCATTTTTAAATGTAACTCTCTTTATTTCTTCATTATGATTCACAATAAAATGAAATAGCTCTAAATAATTTTTTTGATTAACTGATTCATATGATTCATCATGCTCACGAAATGACAATCCTTCTCGTAGAAGAAATCAAACATAATCAATAGTTGCAGTCAACATAATCATATAATCTTCTTTATTACTCTCATCCTTATTCAACCATATGGTGAAAACACTCTGTACTTAAGGCTTTATTAGATCTTCATATTTTTAGCTTGCCTTACTATGAAGATTGTTATGATCTCCTACATAAGCTAAAAGTTTTTCTTTTTTCTTCCATTTTTTAAATCCTAAAAAAAAAAACGATTCTCTGTCTCCTTGACTTGTACTAACCAATTCTTGAGGCTTAAATAGATAACAATAGAGGCAATATGCTGCACTTTTTTATACGCTATACTATAGATGATCCTCAAACCATTTTGAACTAAATCTCTAAGTAATGTTACATATCACTATTTGAGAAAAATTATGAATTTTTTGTTGAGGTGATCCTTTAAGTAAATATGTTCTTCGTACTCTATCTCTATCATTAACATCAT